GACACCACTGTCCACCAACACCAACGCATGGGAAAATCCTTTAAAATAAGAGATCAGGCTGTTAATAGGAGCACCCCTCCTCAAGGACAAATGTTGTTGTAATAATTAATGAAAGAATGTGAAGCTGCCTTCACAATCAAAGCATCTAAAGCAACTTTTCTCAAAAGATGAAGGTTCAAATAGAGATAGGCACTTCTCAACAAGGATTTCAGTAGCAGAGAGGTATCACGTTTAAAGATCTCAGAAATGAAAATTCTTTAAAAGGTTTTTTAACTGGGTTAGATATAAAGTTGGTTTCATCCTAACAAGGTGTCCATGTTGTCCCTTTCTTAAATCTGCACATCTAATGGGTCTTCTGCCCAATAACCAGCCACTCAAGATCTAGAAGATTTTCAAACCAGTAACTACAAATAAACTTATGTCTAGAAATCATTTATTATATTAATTTGGGATTAGAAATTGCCCCCCCCCCCAGGTAATTTTTTTTTATTTGTTAGTCTCTTAAAGGTTATTTTGAATCTCTACCAGTAATCCTTTGTTTTGCTCAGATTTTTATTTTTGCTAGTTCAAGATATACTAAGAATACAGTTTTACAGTGAACTGAAGACAACTAGCTTATTGAAGAAGTTTAAAGATAATGCTATTTTATTACATTTGTTGACTGTTGTATTTATAATTTACACAATTACTAAATCTATCATAAAATTTAGACTATTTACTGTTATAGGTCTTTGGAACCATGCTTTATCTCAACTCCAAAATTAACTTTCTTTTAAAGACAGAGCTGATGACTTATGTCAGCATGCACTTTCCTCGTCATGAATGAAAGCAATACATATTCGTAATTGTTCCCTGGAGATTTCTTGATACAGTTACTGTTATCAATAAAAGGAAATTCCTTTTCTTCAAAATAAAATTACATGGATGCAAAGCATACAGTTTTCAATTGAGGAGTTATGTTCTGTTAAATTAGGTTAGTTGGAGATATATATATATATATATATATATATATTTTCTAAAATATCAATTTATTGGAAAAATGGGGAATAAACAGAAAACTGTCCAGGCCATAAAGAAAGTTTCCAGAGCTGACAGTGAGATGATTTTATTTAGCATGACAATGTGATGAAAAATTGAGATGGGTTTTTATAACACACATTTAAAGATTTTTCTTTAATTTAAGATGTAACTTGTCTCATATGTTCTTATGTCTTATATGCTTCTTGTCTTGATGATATATGTAAGGAAAATAGTAAGTAGAAAAGGGGGGTGGAGAAGACATACTACAGTTTTCATACATGTAACTGTCTGTGGTTATGTTTCCATGGGCTACTCCTCTAACATGTCACCTTACAAAGGGCATACAAAAGCTACTGCTCTAAATACGTACAAACCTAATGGCCTACAACACTTCTTAGTTGCCTGGTGGAGACAAGTAAGAGTGCAGAAAATCTAGCCCTTTCATGGAAGTGGTAATATTATAAATCTTTCCCTTGAAGTTTGAAAAACATACATCTTTCCCTACCAAAGGTTTTGTCTATGCAAAACCTTTGAAGAGGTCTTTGTAAGTGAATTGGTAGGAGTCAGTTGTTTTAATAACCAATATCAGCACAATCAAATCAGCAAGCAGATCTGATACAGTCATTAAAGTGGCTTGGTATCCTGGATACCTAGAAACTCATGGCCAAGAAGAGGCTATTCCTTTTCACTGGCTTCTCACAGTGCATAATGTCAAGTTCCACACTGAGATGTAGAACAGGGGCTGGCCCACTCGGGCTCCCAGCTTTGACTGTACAGCTCCATATGAATAAGTGGAAATAGGGCCACTGTTCTCCTGTGCCAGGACACTGCCTGCATAAGTAGGAATACCAACCGGCAGGCATTCAACATCTAGTGAGTTCTAATTCCAGCCCTGCTTTCTCTGCTAGATCAGGTGGCAGTTGGCAGAAAAACTAATATCCTGAAAGTTAATTTGCTAGTTGCAAGTCAGGGGTATCATGGGGCATAGGAGAATAGTCTGCTACTGCTTCAGCGAGTTTCACATACAGTTTGAGGATGCTGGTTTCCTAGGAAGAAAAATAAATGTCTGATTTCCGGATTGCAGTGTTTAGGCAGCTGTTGTCAAATCCAACTTGGGCCTATGGCTTCCAAATTTCAAAGGGTGAAAGGAACTTTATGTTCTGTGATGGAAGGCCTCATCTGTCTTATTCATCTTGGTGCCTAATACATAGCAGCTATTAAATAAATACTTCTGGAATAAATGAAGAAATAAACGAACAAATAACTGAGCAGTAGATTTCTTAATGGCAATGGCAGACGAATTCATTTTAAAGAGTTTTTCTGGGTCTTTGTAGTTAAAACTACCGGAAGACATAGTTGGTAGTGATTCTTTTAAATGCAGTCAAATTGTGCTTAAACAAAACCAACATAGGAAAATCCGTGTGCACAAAACAAATAAATTAAAAGGTGATTATATGCATCACAATTACATGGAAATATGCCTTAATGTAGAGGTTTACTAAATGTTGGCCCCTGATGGTTCAAAGTGAAATGAGAAATATCAGCTTTGTACTATTCTGCATAGGCTAAATTTAAGAAACTGTACTTTATTCAAAAATCGACCTCCCCCAATTTATGTGGTTAAAATACTATATATATATAAAATAATAAAAGCATAATATGCAAATCAACTGACCTGCCAAACAGCAGAACGACCATCTGGACAACCTTCCGGACGACCACTCTATGACATGCACTGGTGCCAGGCCAACCAAGGCAGGTGTGATGCAATTGGTCAGGAGGCCCCGCCATCGCCCTATGATCGCCCCACAAAGGAGGCCTAGGCTACCCTCTGTGAGGTGATCGATGGGGGGGCTCCACGATCCATCACCCCAAAGAGGGAGGCCCAGGCCACGGGCCAGAGGGTTGATCAATTGGGGGGCCCCCACGATCACCCCAAGAAGGGAGGCACAGGCCACCCTCTGCCCGGCAATTGATCGCTGCCAGGAAGAAACATTTGCACAGCATATGTTTCAAGGGACCTGGCGTATATGGCATACTGTTCTTAATATGTTTGCTCCCCTTCTTGGCGCTATGTGTTTTAACCAAGGTCACCTCTCCGAGAAAGGTTGTTTCCCCAGGTAGGGATTTTTCCCCTAAGTTAGGGAGGGAATAAAGTGCCAGGCTGGTAGTTAATCACTTTAACTATGAACAATCACGCTTAAGCTACATAATCTTTACTCCCTGGAATGGAGATAAGAAACGCCCTAACCTTTGGAATAGAAATTGATAGGATTAAAATCAACTGGTATAAATACAGATGTAACAAGACAATAAAACACAGAACCTGGCTACAGAACCTGGCGGGAGAACCTCATGCTGATCAACTGAACGCGGCCTCCGTCCACACCTTTGAGAACCCCTGGACCTGCTGGGGCTGGACCCCAACAGATCCCGGAGCCCCGGTTGTGTGGTCGGGCCTCCCTCTGCGGGGCGATTGATCTGGGGGCCCTGCGATCAATCGCCCCACAGAGGGAGGCCCAGGTCACCAGCCAGCGATGCTGTGGCGGGTGTGTGGGACTGGCTAGTGATCACTCCACAGAATGAGGCCCAGGCCAGCTAAGTGATCACATCCCATGCCTGTTGCCCGCAGAGAGAGGCAAGAGGTGTTGGGGGTGTGGGGGGCTTCGCCTCACAGATGATAAGCAGCGGCGGGGGTGGGGCCATCTGCCGGCAGCCAGGGGAATGAAAGCCCCACTAGGCCCTGATCGCCAGCCAGGCCTAGGGGCCCTACCCAAGGGTTCCCGGATTGCGAGAGGGCACAGGCCGGGCTGAGGGACACTGCCCCCACCCTGGTGCACCAATTTGGTACACCAGGCTTCTAGTACACACACACACACACACACACACACACACACACACACACAATATGGACCTATTTTATGCTAGTTATTCCTTTTTAAAATATATATATATTATTGATTTTTTACAGAGAGGAAAGGAGAGGGATAGAGAGTTAGAAACATCGATGAGAGAGAAACATTGATCAGCTGCCTCCTGCACACCCCCTACTGGGGATGTGCCCACAACCAAGGTACATGCCCTTGACCTGAATCGAACCTGGGACCCTTCAGTCTGCAGGCTGACGCTCTATCCACTGAGCCAAACCGGTTAGGGCTAGTTATTCCTTTTTAACACCCTTACTTGCCAAAATAAAGTTGGAGATATCTATATTGGTTCCCCAGGTTTTTGAAAATGCTTTATTGTTTTGTGAAATCCAAGTGTTGAAGACTGGCACAATTTAAAATAAAATTCATTTTATAAAAGCATACAAGTATTTTTTTTAGAAACTTACATATTGAATAAAGGAAGACAGTATAATCTTGACTTTAATTATCCATGATAATAATAGCCAACAAATAAGCCCAGCCTGTGTAGCTCATTTGATTGAGCATTGTCACATTCACCAGGAGGCTGTGGGTTCGATTCCTGGTCACGTTGCCCGTGTTATAGGCTCAATCCCCAGTAAGGGGCATGCAGGAGGCAGTCAGTTGATGTTTCTCTCTCACCCCTCTCCCTTCCTCTCTCTGAAATCAATAAAATCATATTTAAAAAAAACAGCCAACAGGTGTTGAGTGGCTATTCTGTGTTGAGCACTGCTCTCTGGCTTTTGAAATGTATGAAATCATTTAAATTTCATAGTAGCCCAAGAAGAAAGCTTTATTATCCCCATTTTACAGATGAAGCACTCCAGGCACAAACAATCAAGTCCTTGCCCCAAAAGACACATAATAAAGCAGTAGAGCTAAGAATCAAACTCATGGCTCCACAACATATATTCTTAAAGAAACTGGGCCATTTGACAGTTCAATCAATAAAAAACATTGGTTTATATAGCCTAATGATCATACAAATGAATGTTCACTCACCATGCAGATTATAAACTCCTAACCAAGACTCATATTATCTTATATTTAAATCAGAGCCCCTCCCAATCTTACCTTATCAATCTAGTTCGTGATGACCTATTTTTAGCTTCAGTGTTTACACAGGCATTGCTTCAAGCAACATCCTCATTTCTTAAGCTCATGTTTTGATTAGCTAATAACAAAAAACAAAACAAGAAAATACATTTTCAAATGGGGCATTTCAACCAAGTAAGGGATGAAAGCATACGTTCAAATTTAGTCATCAAGATTAAGTTAATTTAGGGCAAATTCAACTTTATAGTAAACAAATAGAAAAGTACATTTCAGTTTACCTATTAAAAAAAATATATATATATGTATATATACATACCCCAGCTTCCAAATGCTAATTCTAAGTATTAAAAACCCAGATCCCAAATATTGATACCCATTCCAACGGTAGGCTCTTACTTAAAATGAAAAGATCACACACTTTAGTGGGAACTCACATTTGTTTGCAGCATCAGAAATCCAAATATAACATCATTTGGGCGCAAGAGGCAAATTAGACAGTAAAATTCAAGACTGCTGAATCAAACTAGACCTTTTAACTACAATTGGGGGGGGGGATCCAAATTTGCAGCAAATTGAATCAAAGACAGTAATTTTGTCTTTTCAAAACTTTCAATACTCTTGGTAGTGGTAAAAATGCTTGTTAGGTTAAATATAGGTTTCTGTCATCCTCTCTCTTACTCAACACCATTTACCAAAATATTGCACTACATTAAAGGAGTTGTCATTTTATGGTAAGAAAAATAAATTTTACGACTAAGAAGTCCTGGTTCCATCAGGGATTCAGGAGGCCCTGGAGCTTCTGCAGTTTAAGGAAATTTTGTGGATTAGTCTCTCCACCCCTCAGTCCTGGAGTTGGGGTGTGCACATCCCATCTGAATATCTTGTTAAGCATTCCGGACCCTAACTTCTGACCCTTCAGGTGACTCCTGCACAAACTCTTAACTTTCTGGCTTCTGCTCAAGAACCCATCCCTAGTCCACATGCCCTAGAAAAACATAGGAACCAGTTCTAGGACGTAGCTATCCACCTTGCACCCACGCTCCTCCCAGAGACTATCCTCCCGCCCTAACCCGGGCCACAGCCCCCGCCCTACGCCAGCCCAGCAGGACCCAGCCCACTACGGTCAACTGAGGCTTCCAAACTTCCTCCGCCCACTAGGTCCACGTGACCAGGAGCCCTCCACGCTCCACCAATCAGCAACTACCTCCGCCCAGAACCGGGCACCGACTCTCCCCTATCGCAAAAACAACTTACTCCTCTCGCACTCAGCCCCGCCCCTTTCCCACCTCCCCGCCCCGCTGGCCCCGCCCACTTCCCCAACCCCCGGCTCCCCTCCTCCCGTGGCCCACCCGCCCCCGGGCTTCGCCCCGCCTCGCCCGGGATCGCGCGCGCTAGCCCTCTTCTCGCGAGATCTGAGCGTCCCCCCGCGGCGGCCGTCCGCCTCCTTCTGTCCTCCCACCTCCCTCCCCCCAATCTCTCCACTCTCCGGCTCTCCTCCCTCCCTCCTCCCCCCTCCACCCTCTGGGCCGGATCTCGTCTCGCTGAGGCGGAGGAGGAGAAGGAGGAGGACGTTCGGCTTGCGCAGTGAGATGTTTGTCCGTCGCCGCCGCCGCCGCCATCGCGGAGGAGCGCGATAAAGGGAGCTGAGCCGGGCGTGAGGGGGACCCCGCGGAGCAGCCGCGTCAGCGCAGCCCCCCAGCTGAGCCCCGGCCGCCGGAGCCCGAGTCGCTGCCGCCCCCGCCGCGGCCGCCCAGGGGCCGGCCAGCTCCCCAGCCCAGCCCGGGGGCCGCGCCGCCGCCCCCAGCGTCGCCCCTCGCCTGCCCGCCCGCCTTAAATGTGACACCGGCGCCTCGGAGTGCGACCCACAGCCGCCGCCGGGGAGGGGACGAGCACCATGTCGAATCTGAGCAAAGGCACGGGCAGCCGGAAGGACACCAAGATGCGGATCCGGGCCTTTCCGGTGAGTCTCTACTGGGCACCCGGGACCCCTGGGCCGGGGGCCGGGCCGAGAGCCGCACGCGAGGCCCGGGCTGAACTCCCCCAACAGGCCGCAGGCCCGGCCTCCCCTCCCCCACGCCGCCGGCCGCGGGGCGCGAGCCTTCCCGGCAACGGGGCTGCGCGGGGCCCCCGGCACTGGCACTGCCGCCCTCCCGGGCCGTTCCGGCGACGCGCCCCCACCCGTAGCGGCGCCTCCAGCCGCCCAGTCGGCTGTGGCCGGGGCCCCTTTGCCGGTCCCAGCACCTCCCCACATCATTGGGGTGTAGGCCCAACAGCTAGTTCTCCTCTCCCCGCTCGGTGCCCGGGACCCACACACCCACGGGCATGGGGACTGTCCAAGTCCTCCCTGTATGGGGCCCGTGTGTAACTTTTCACGTGTGGTCTCGCTGTGGTTTCACACAACAACCGGCAGTCTCAATGACGGCCAGCCAAACCTTGAGGAGGATGAGGGGGACTGTGCTCTCTCTCCGCCTCCTCAGGAAGCGTTATGCCATCAGCCTGTCCTCAACGCGGTGACAGTGGTTCCACGGAATGCTCAATAGAAACATAGTAGTAATATCAGATGTATTTGTAGCGTCTTTGATCCACAGGCTTTCAAAGCACTTGACAAACTCTCTTGTGCAGAAATTGCCCCCCCCCCCTCACACCCCCATAGGAGGGTCAGGAGAAGCAGGCGGGAACAAATTGGGCAGTTGGTTCTCTATTTCTCAGACCGGGAAGCCCCAAAAGAATGAATAATCATCACCCTGGGTTGCTTTACTCTATAGGTGTTAGTGACTGCAAATGTATTCTGTTTAGAAACTTTTTTAGTATTACTTTGAATCTTAGGCTTGCGGTGTGGAGTATACAGTGTTTAACTTTGGATGTCATATCCGATTCAGAGAGTCAGTGGCCAGCCCTTAAACTGTACTGGCATAAGAGAAACTGGACACACTTGCTCATGTCGCTACAGTAACACCTCTATGTCAAGAAAGACTAGTAATTGGTCTAAGACTAGAGAACGATCTTGCTTTTCCTTTCATAGACTCATAGACACATAATCCTGTGAGGAGGAAAAGGGAGGAGGTGTGTACTCACTTCTTAAAGCATGGTTTTTCTAAAGTGTAGTTTGCAGTGAGGAAAGACTTTATTAATAATAGAGTTGTCGGATTTAAGTAAGAAATTCGCCCAAGGAACTTGACCTTTCTGAATTCTTAAAATTTGAAACAATATATCTGATGCAGACTATGAAAGTGTAATAACATAAACAGTAATGTCGATGTGTAGAGACTTCCTGCTTTATGTAAACAGGGTGGGATATACGCAGGAGAATTAAATGTTTTGAAGAGATTTTGTAATTTTGAAGTTTTTTCTAAGTAAATGTGAGAAACTACAAAGTAAGAAATGCCGACAAAAGAGCACTAATGAAGTTCACTAGCATGTTTTCCCATGTAAGGAAACAGTGTTATGATTTGTTGGTAATGTTAGTTTTCCTACTTAATCAGTTCTGACCTTTTTAGCAGAATTTAGAATTATTTCGTTTTTTAAATAAGTTTATGCAACAAGTTTTCTAGGAAAAGTTTGCTATTCTTGGAGTGTGAGTTCTATTTCAGATTATTACTAAAATGTGGAATAGCTCACATTTGACATCTACTTATGCTAATGTTCTGATTAGCTGCTTCTACCTTTATCTATGTATTTTCAACTCAGTATCTTAGCTTGTTCCTACCTGTTCTCCCATTCCTTCGTTCATTCAACAAGTACTGAGTACCATGTGCCAGGCACTGTTTTAGGGAATAATTTTAAGTAGCATATGGTTATGAGCTAATTTGGACCCTTTCTGTCTCGACTTGTTGCCCTCTAAGTTTTTCTAAAATCCTTTAATGAAGTTTGTGACTAGTGTTTGATATTCAGTAGTTAATATCTGCTAATTTTTAAAAGTATATTTTATTATTTTATAACTAGTAATATCATACGTAGTTGCCAGTGAAAAAAGCAATTATAGTTTTTTGATATATAAATTTTTAAGTCATAGGTCCTTGATCCTTCAATAAGGAGAGAGAGATGCCTCAGTGGTATGGTATTTCACATTGGTAAATGAGTATTTATAGACCTTCAAAATTTTTCTTTTATTTCAGGTTAGTGATCTTTTGCTTAACTGTAGTCTGCATAAATTGGTAGTCAGAAGTAGAAAATACATAGTGTTCCATAAAGAAAAAATAATGTTTATGTGTGTACATATGTACATACAAATACTGTATTTTACCATTTGGATATATAGTTACTATAATTTAAGGGAAATTATAGTTTAGCCAAATGTCTGAAGTGTTCATTTCAGATTCCATTTTATAAAATTGATGTGCAAAACATATAAAAATGTTTGGGGATTGTTTTGTTTGTATTGCAGAATAGAGTGATAAATGAACTTATATTTTATAGTCATGTAAGCCTATTCCAGACACAATCCCATCAGTAGAATCAGGTATTATTAGTGTTGTGAATGCATATTTTAAGTGTATTTTCATCATTGAATAGAAGTTACACCATACCAGTTTTAGGCACAATTTACATTTTAAGTAGACCTTTTCATAAGATTTCAAGAGAAATTGGTTCTTTTTAAGGTGGAAAACAATAAGCAACTTTCTGTCTTTATACATTGTTGATGGAGGAAAAGTTCGTTCCAGTTTTTAAGCTTTCCTGCAGTGTACAAAGTACATACATCATTTAACATCTTTCTGTTTTTTGGGTATCCAAAGTAACAGCAAGGGCCACAAAACTATTTTAAGGAAGGAGGCTATAAGTTGCCAAACTCCTGAAAACGGAGTGGATTTGGACCAGAGAATGCTGCCCCAAGGAGTTTCTACTCTTCTTCCCTTGATGTTGCCATGTGTCCCAACCCTGAGCTTTTGTTCCACTATGTAGGATTAGTTACTGTCAGATGAACCTTTTGTCCTTATCTCTGAAAAGCCATTCCTCACCATCTGTACTGTCCAGGGTTTTGTCCACATGAGCTCGGAAAGATTGATTGGATTGAAGGGGATATATTTGAATGGAAGTGCTAGCCTCTCTTCTGATTTGCCTTAATTGGCTTAGCCTTCAGAGTTAAGACACATTTTGAAAGTGATTGCCTTTAGATATGATCTGGAAATGGGTTCAGTTACTAGTTTATAAAGCATGCTAATCATGATAAAGAATCGCTGATTGTGACGTCCACTCCATAATTCTAGATGAGATTACCAGAGCTCTACCTGTGTGGCGGACAGGGAATGATGTGGAGGTTACCATTAGATGGAACCCATAAAGTGACTGACATTAGTAAGAGATTAAGTTTTAAAATTATTTTTTATGTATTTAAGGTCACAAGAACTTAACGACTAATGGGTACTGTTAATGTTTTTGTTTTTCCAGCTATATATTTGCCAGATTTGGGGAAACAGCTTTGATCTTGATAATAGGTTTCTCTTCCTTAGGGAAAGTAATAGTTGCTTATAGCTACCAGGACATACATACAGGAAAGCTGAATAATAGTCTTGCAAATTACACAGGGTAGGGAATTAATTGTAAGTTTGTTTTTCATTCTTTAGTATTTTCTTATAGAGAAATCCTGGAGTAAGGTGTAGGATATTTATTAAAGTGTTGCTTATACTTAGACTGATTCTTCCTTTTTAGTTTTTTAGGACAGCCCCCTGTGTTGTAGCTGTTAGAAGCTGAAAAATAAAAGCATAAAATAGGTACCTATAACGTGTTTATTTTGCATTATCTTCCTAGATGGCAGTTCAGAGGAACCTGGAAAATCATTAGTATCAATATTAAATTTGAAACTATTTTTGGTAGTATAGAATATAATGTGAGAATTTGGTCTTTTAAATAACACATAAGTCACAAGGTTGATTCATTCAAACAAAATAGAGAAAGCTTTATTTGTTTGCACATCATTTATTCATTAAATTGAAAAACAGCATTTCTCTAATTTAGGAAGACTATATAATTAGGACTAGAAAAAAATAGTATGCCTTTCCTTTGTATTATAAATTGGGAGACCTTAGAGGTAATTTTCATTCAAGATCATCTTGATATTTACAATTTTGTTAGATTTTTATAAAGGTTTCGGGACAATTTATAGTTTTAAATATTGCAACTTCGAGAATAATTCTTGTTTATCCATTGTAAAGTCAACAGAAAAGTAAAGGTGTTATTAGTAAGAACAAGTCACTGGGATGAAATATGAGTTACAGTTAGTGTCTATCAGTATATTGTGAAAACTGTTCAAACATCTGTCAAAGAAAAGAATTCTTTTCAGTAGCTTTTCTAATTATAAAAGTGATGTATATTCATAATAGAAAACTTAATATCTGTTTATAAATAAGGATATAAAAATTACCTGTAACCCTACCACTTAGAAATAAACAGGACAGTAATATTTTGATGTGTTTTCTTTTAATCTGGCATACACATGTGAGCACACAGTAAAAGTGAGGTACAATATCATTTTATATATTGCCTTTAAAAAATATAGTATCTTACTGTACATGTAGTTTCATGTTAAATATATTGGACACATAATTTTTGATGGCTGTGTAATACTCTATAGTACCTTCATTTGCTTAATCATTTCCTTTGCCAAGTATTTTGATTAATTCTAGTGAACCCACATTTTCTCTATTATAAATAATGCAGCTGTGACAGCACAAAAATATTTGAGCTCATTTATAATTATTGAAGTACTGGGCTAACCATCATTGATATCTATTACCAAATTGACAGAAAGGTAGTTATAATGGCTAACACTTTGTGAATGTTACCATGTGCCATGCACTGTTCTCTGTGCTTTGCATATATAAGCTCATTTAAAATGCACAACTCTATATAGAATACTACTATTCTCATTTGTTATATTTATGAGGGCTTGAGAGGTTAAGTAATTTGCTTAAAGTCCCTATACTTGTAAGTGTCAGAACTGGGATTCTAACCCAGCCGGTTTGA